ATGATACGTCGGGTTCACGTAAAGAAATCGTTTACTTGCAGTATCCAAACTCATAATGTCACATTTGGTTAACGTAAATTAATTGTGTAGCCTACTTGCAGGATCCAAAGCAATAGTTCATTTGATTCACATAAACGGAGTGCCTATTTGCAGTATTCAAAGTCCTTTATAATCTGGTACGTAGGTTCACAACAATGGAATGTCTATACTTGCAGTATCCAAACTCAGTGTTTTTTTTTGTTCACATTTTAATGGAATTCCTAGTTGCAGTACCAGTACCTATTCAAAGTCTGCATTATTGAATCGTACGTCCAATTCACATAAATGGAAAGTCTACTTGCAGTATTCAAACTCAATTGTAGACATTTATTTGGTTCACATTTATTTGTCTATTTGGATTATTTAAATTCAATGGTTCATCAGCCTTATTACCGACGACCATAATAAATTATTGCATAATGCTTATTCATTTTTTGTAGTAAATTATATGCTCAATGATATCAATCAGATTGCTCTTCCCTTTTTCTGTGTACGGTATTTGAAATGTGCTATTTAGATGATTCGTTGACTAACATATGTTGCAACTCTTGTTTACCTTTTTATTGTTATCTCGCAAATAATGGCATGGCAACCAATTAACCCATAAGGCCCATGTTAAATTTCCAAAAGTTTAAATTCACGTAGGGAAAAGCCCCGTGGTCCGATTTTTACCATTTAAGATTTATACCTTCCCATGGTTGGGTACTATGGTTGTGTTAAATTTCGTGCAGATCGCTTCAGCCGTTCAGGAGGAGTATTTGTAAAACAAAAGCAGGAGTGTAGTACAGGGTGATTACTGGGAAACGCATGTTTTTGACTTTCATAGTACACAAGGAATATCGTTCGGCGACGGCCGGAAGTTGTTGCGATGTGTAGGGGGAAGTGTGCATTTTCAATTTTTGCCAAGATGTGGGACCTTGAGCATCGTATGTTTGTCATGCGACGATATTACGCAAATGGTGATTTAGTCACTCAGACTCAGCGAGACTTTCATACACATTTTAACATTGCACGGTATGGCGCTACCCCTGATCGTAACACGATATTGCGTTGGATACATAATGTAAAACTCAATTAGATCTCTGCTTAAGAGAAACCCTCCTGGACTGGCAAGGACAGTTAGTACCCCTGAGACAGTTGAAAGAGTGCGCCTTGCAACAGCTCAGAGTCCTAGCCGCGACGGCAGAGCAGTGACAGTGAATCCACAACGGTACCTACGTTGACAAGTTGGAAGAATATTTCTTGCCGGAACTGCGCCATCAACGTGTCGAGATACGTAATGACGTATGGTTCCAACAAGATGGGGCAACAGTCCATACAGCTCGCATTAGAATGGAATTCCTTCGGCGAACATTACCTAAAACCCACGTTTTGGTGGTGTCACTTGGCCGAGCGCTCACCAGGTCTTAAAATTCCAGATTTCTTTCTATGGGGATTTTTTAAATCTAGAGTTTACATAAACAAACCAAAAACAATACAGGATCTTAAAGAAGCTATTCGCCAGGAAATCAACGCCATTCCTAGAGATATGTTAGCAAATTCCGTAGAAAGTTTTAAGGAACGCCTTCAACGCTGTATTAAAGCAGAAGGCGACCCGTAAAATTATCAATGTTCTCTAACCACCACGTTAGAAATGTAATTTTTAAATGCTAAATTGCAAGTAATTTTATTCTGAAATTGCATATTGTGTACACTGTTTTTCCACTCATAAATACATTTTTTGCTCTGAATTACCTGAGTACTCGTTATTTGAAAAACATGCGTTTCTCGGTAATCACCCTGTATAAGAGCTTCGCTCGCTTCGCTTCGCTCCGCTCAATAAAACTAACCTACAATATTTAATATAGATCCGCTCTCATACTGCTTTGGTCATCTCTTATGTATTGTAGGTACCCCCACTATGAGAACGAAGATGTCAACCACACACTGTAAAGTGAGCTTTTCCGACCTAATGAAACCAGTTCGACACGTAATATAGCACTGTTAAATTACTTCTGCGATAGGTTCTGTTTTAGGCGTGTTTAAATTAGGGGCCCCAACCAAAGTGTCCAGTTGGGAACATTGGAGGGCAAGCAAGTGTATCTAACGACGGATCTAGAACGGATTCGCGTTTAACATTATTAGTTTTTGGAAAAAAAGAAACTAAGATTTATTTTGTCTGGTGGTACTCTGTTTTCAGCTTTAAAAATAGCGGTGACATTTATACAGGTCGCATCATTGTAGCGAGGAAAGCCAATTATTTTGTCTCTTATTATGTACATAAGAATCTCCCTCAACTCCTCGGAGCTCTCGTCCCTACACATTTCTGCCACAGTTTAAAAGATTGGGCAAATGGGTTGGCAATGTGACCCTATTTCCCACATATTTTATCATTGAATCTTTCCTTTCAAGTGTCATGGATCTTGAAATTGTAGATCCCCTGTATGATCCTCTCATCTAAATGAGCTTCAGAGCTGACCATGGCAAAGGCGGAATTGAATTGACAAATTTTACTCTAATAATTTTTAGATCCAAGCCTCACAGCCCTGATTTCAGATTGGGAGTTTCCAATAAGTTCCTGAAAGTAGGTATGGTGAATTCCGCAAATGAGGTAAATGGTTCTCTCGTTTATGGCACCAAAGAGTAATTGAACTGTATCGGCCAAACTCTTTTTTTTTTTTTTGCTTAAAATGTAAGCCACCACAATGTAAACATTTAACGTTCATTTGTCAAGGTTAGATGTATCCCACACGATGGTTGCCACTCTGTAATCTTCAAATGATACATTGGGAGATTGATGCAAGCGGCTACGTCCGCGTTTCCTCCAGCCACTCAAAGTCTTCGTCTTACATTATTTTAAATTAAGATGAATTACGAAAGTTAACAAAGCAACAGAAAACACTACAACGGAATTGTTATACACGTTGTAAATTACATGATAATGTGATGTAACTGCACTGGAAATAATCACTTTCAAACATTCATTTCATCACACCAAACTGTAACCAAAACTACACGATTATTCAGTAAAATATGATGTAAGGTAAATACATTCAACTATTTACAAACAATTTGTTGTCAAGTCTTGATACGAAACTCTTTATTTAAGAAACATTTATAGTTAACAGATGTTTAGATAAAAATATAGAAAAATATAGAATTCCGGCTTTGCTCTGGAATAAATAAGTCCTGCAGTCTATGGTCAAACTTAAAAATTTTAAGAATTATATTTATTCTTAAACACTTTGTTGTCTAGTATTGATAGGATGCTCTTCATTATGAACCAGACTTAGTTAACAGATTGAAACAAAATATAAATTCAAGCTTTGCTCTGTAAGTTTTAAGTCCTGCAGTCTGTGGTTAACCTTAAAAACTATTTCAAACTACGTCCATATGTTATTTGTAAACAAAGGGAAATGAGTTTAATCAAATGTCAACAGATGGCGCCGCCTTCCAAACTTTAGCCCTTAACTGTACTTAAGTGATGCCCTTTCTTAATATTCTGAGACGTATTTGCACATCTACATGAAAATACCTTTAATTTGACACCTCAAACGTTAAAATCCATCAAGCAGTTATCGAGCTATGACTGTGAAAAGAAAACCGCTTGCGTATTCATATATAGATTTGAAACAAACATTTTTGATATGATTTTATTTGACCCTCCTATTTTACCACTGTGATACAAATTTCATGTTTTCTTCCTATCCCTGAAATTGGCAATTGGTTAAATAAAGACTTTTAACAGTACATAGTAAAATTATGTGTAGATTTTTTTATGATAACACTAGCTGTAACCGTGGGCTTTGCCCCGTTTAACTTCATAAGTGAGCTCGTTCGCATGGCTCAATCACGTCCTGGTTGAAGTCCTTTCGCTACGCTCACTCACCTTTTGGTTGCAAATTAGCTGTTGTCATAAATGTAAAAGAAATAATAGTGCTGCACCCTGTTGGTAATCCTTGTAACTTTAATGCTATTGAACATCATAGTACAGAACCAACTTGTTTAATTGAAACAGCTGTTAAGATTCATTAATTCCATTTAAATATGAGTACTCATAAGGTTAACATGGGAAACTCCAGAGCCACTGGGGCGGAGCCCAGAGGTCGGAGGGTAAAATCCTTTCTTAGCCAACTAAACAATATCGATATTATAGTCTACTACCCAAAAGGAAGATGCCTGCCAAGTTTCAGGTTCCTAGGTCTTATGGTTTCCGAGATTTCGTGATTTGGCCTACTTACTTGTGCAGTAATACTTATGCAAAATTAGTTAATTATATTTACATGAAAGTCCATGGAGTAATTGATATCATTGTTTCATTCTAATTAGATTTGAAGTAAACAAGGATCCTTGGAATTTCATCAACTAAAGATGAAAAGTCTGTGTTTATTTAATTATTTCACAATAAATTGATACAAAGAACAGATAAATGAGTGTACCATGCGTATCATCCTTTATCATCTACATATGTATCATCCTTGGTTTGATGCGTTCCAATAGAATATTTCTCCAAATTTTATTTTCTTTGGAATTATTGAGGGTCTTAGGCAGATATAGGCATAGGGGGGCATGTTTTAGGAATTTCTATTAAAAATACAATATTTTAGCTTATTTTTAGACTTCATAGTGCTGATATATTGTGCATGCCCCCCCCCCCCCCCAGAAATGTTGGTCATGGGAGGACTATTTTAAGATACACTGTAAAAAAATTTTACTTAGGCCTAAACCAAAAAAGCCATTTATATAGTCTAATATTTATGCAGTATTGCAGTAAGTCTGTTGAAACGAGATAACTTCACAATTTATTTCTTAGACTATCAAACTTTTCATATATATTTGTACAGTGTGGGCATGAAAGCTTGCCCATTAAATTTTAATTATTAGTTTAAATTAGCTACTTTCAAAACCATACAACAGAATGTAACATTTAAACATCTTTAAAGATATGAAAACCATTAGCTTCAACCTATGGATGTTTACAGGTGAATACAGTTGCCTAAAGGTGGACTTGTTATTCAAGAGAGAGTTCAGCTACTACCTGATACAGATCTACATCCCCTGCTGCATGTTGGTGATAGTATCCTGGGTGTCGTTCTGGCTAGACCAGAGCGCTGTACCTGCGAGAGTGTCCCTAGGAGTCACCACACTGCTGACAATGGCCACTCAGACGTCCGGCATCAACGCCTCCTTGCCTCCCGTCTCCTACACCAAGGCCATTGATGTCTGGACCGGAGTTTGCTTGACATTTGTGTTTGGAGCGCTGTTAGAGTTTGCCCTGGTGAACTACGCTTCCAGGTCTGACATGCACCGGGACAACATTACAAAGCAGCGTCGAGCGTGCGAGATGGAACACGCCACCAACGCTCAGTTGGATGCGGCGGCTGACCTCCTGGAGGACGGAGGAGCCACTTTTGCTATGGTCAGTATCATTCCTAAAAACTGTGTGATCGCTATAACTTCCACAAAATATACCTAACACATTTTTATATTTACTATCTTTAGAATCAAGAAATTTAACAAAGTTTCAGAGTTTTTCTTAAGAAGATTTAGATATTTTTGCTATGTGATTTTAAAAAAGGTAGTTAATACACTCATGGTTTTTATTTAATAAAAAAAAACATAAAAAAGTTATAGATAGTAATGTGAATTATGTTACTTCTATTTTGTTTCTCTAATACCAAATAAATTTGATAAATCCAGGTATTAGTTTTGTAACAAAATGTACCATAAAAATGCAATACAGTTTTCTTTGTCAAAGGCAACCAGGCTACTCTTTCAGCATAGCAGTCTATGGGATTATTAAATTGCATGCATGGCCTTCATTTCAGACAGTTAATGAACAATTTGAGTGGGTTACAGCATGTTTGTGTGGAAAATAATTGTTTTAAGTATTCAATCATTTAAAAGAAGTGTGCAGACATACTGGGACATATTTGTTTAGGCTTGAATTGTAGATGATAATTCCTACTGATGTTCTGTAATGAGTTCAAGGAGTTGTTAGGACAAGTTTACAATGTTTTTGTCAGATATACTGTAGGGATAATTAAATTTGCTGAAAGCTGTATATCTCTATGTTTTAAAGACTATTTGACATCAAACTCTGAAATAATTTATTTATAATAATAATGACTGCCTTATGGATGGTCTCTACCTTACCTCAGTGCTGGGACAGAGTAAGTTGTATACACAATTACTTATAGATTTGGTGTTCCATCAAAGATCTTTAAACATCAAAGTTAAGTGGAAATCTCTAGACTTAATTTCAAGTATTCTCCTATTTAAAAGTGGTTCTTTCCACTAAAATTCTATATATGAAGTGATATAATGTTGACCAGAAAGAGTCGATTCGAGTACAGATATTGTTGGGAAACTTCCATCATCAAACTAGAAACCTCTGCTGCTTTTATCAATCTGTACTTAAAAAAAAAAAACTATTAAATTAGAGTAACCAAACTTTTACTTAAATCTATGTGAGTATACCTAAAAAGAACGACTGAAAGCTATAGCTGACATGTGCTAAACTCGGGCTTGGGGTTGATCAGTATTGCTAGTGGCAGACAGCTAGGTCTGCCTAGCCCAGAGTACCAAATTTAAAGAGCCGTGAAATTTCCAAAAAAGTTTGATTTACAATGTTCTTGTAATTAGTTTTTAGTTGCAAAAAAAACATATAAAACACACTAATTTCAGTAAGTATTTTATCGCCCAAGGTTAGGTACCGGGGGGAGGGACCTCTCTTTCCCTACACTATTCGCTGTTATTCTCCCTAAACAAGAGCTTGTGTGCAACTCATCAAGAGGTCACTCTTCTGTGGCCCACCTTGGGTTTGGTTCAAGTTAATGGGATGGGTGGATTCTTGAGAGTTGCACCTCAAATCACACAGTTTTACTACTTTTGCTTTTCCTTTCCGAGTTTGTATCCACTTAAAACTTGTGTTAAATGAATTTGGGTTTGTATGTGAGATATAAGGGGAAAATAATAACAACACAAATGCAAATAAATTATAAAATAATTCCTAAAGATATAAGGGTTGGTTACATTATTAACTTAATGTGTTTATTTATCTATTTGCTTTTGATAAATTAAAGCCTCCATCGAGCTCACATTGTATCGAAGTAAGCTAGTTCAAATCTGAGACCAACATTGTGTTCTTTAGTTCATCCACTCTAGCTTGTTCCAAGCCTAACGGTTGATCAGTCTCCTCTTTCTCAACACTGTGGAAGAAAATTGACGGTCCTGCTAAGTTGTAATCACGTTCTGTGATTGAATTTCTGTTGGAAGGGGATTTATCCCTAGACAGATGTGTATTCAGATTCAGTCAAGTGTTCTGACAAAGAAAATATGCATTAATGATATTGTAGAAGCTAATACGTTTTTTTTTTTTTTTTTTTTTTTTTTTAAAGGAGTCAACAGTGTGTATTTATCAGTTTCCATCAAGACAAAGATATAATTTGTGGAAACTTTGCTTGCTATTCAATGTGCTTCAAACTTTCAGGACTGAACGTAGTTCTTTCTTATAATGACAACCCCTACATATTAGTTCGTAAATCTCTCTTATTCAGTCACACCGTGATCCGCATGCAATATTCCCCTAATTTTGATAACTGCTTAACCCTCTAGGTGTCGCATTGACAACCTCCAAATGTCACGAGTATTTAGGCACTTTTGCCGAGTTTTATGTAAACATCCATAAACACTTTTACTGAACACATATATATGTAAACATGTATATTTTCTTAAACTACATAAAATAGGCTATCTTTAAACATGTAGTATAATACCAGGTTACAAGACTGAATTCCGATATGGGTTCAAATCCAGGAGATGCACAAATGTTGTTTCTATTTCTGAGTAACCAGACATTGTGGTAAAACACCAACAGTCACTAACTAAAAAACTATTTTATACATTTTATTCTAAATTCAATGAGGAAAAAGAAAATACGAGGGTCGTTCCAAAAGTAAGTTACACTTTTCTATAAAATCCGTGCGGTATGAGGGAGAAGTCTGGGAGTAGCAGGGAATTAGCGTCTGGGTGTTGTGGCAGCACTGCAACGTGCCCAAGGCTGGGCGTGGCTCACTACGCCAGTCAGGCGCTAGCCATCATGGAGTTACCACTGGTTCCTGCCGCCGATTGTGAAGTGCGTGCTGTCATTCATTTTTTTACCGCTAAAAATAAAAATGCGACTGAGATTCATCGCGAACTTAGTAGTGTGTACGGTGATGACGTTATGTCTAGGCCTATGGTTCATCGTTGGCACCAGTCATTCATTGATGGACGGACAACGACACATGATGAAGAAAGAAGTGGCCGACCTTCAACTTCCCGAGTTGCGAGCATTGCCGAAGACGTCCGAAGGGTCATTGACACTGATCGCCGCCTTACACTTGATGACATCCTTACTGAACTGCCTCCAAATGTTGAAATAAGCTGTACTTCACTTCATCGAATAATTACTGAAGATCTAAGCCTCTCAAAAGTCTGCGCAAGATGGGTTCCACGCTTGCTCACAGAACAACACAAGGAGCAGAGAGTTGATGCAGCATTGCAATTTCAGCAATTTTTCGATGATGAAGGGGATGGTTTATTTGATCGAAGAGTGACCAGAGATGAAACATGGATTCATAATTGGACTCCCAAAACAAAAAAACAGAGCATGGTGTGGAAAGCAAAAGATGAGGCTGCACCAAAAAAAGCAAAAGTCGTGCAATCTGCAGGAAAAGTTTTGGCAACTGTCTTTTGGGATTCAAAGGATGTGTTACTGATTGACTATCTGCCTCATGGGACCACGATTACCGCAGAACGTTATTGTGAGGTGTTAAAAAACTTACGAAGGGCAATACAGAACAAAAGAAGAGGGAAGTTGACAAAAAAGTTTTTTTGTCCCACGACAACGCTCGCCCACATGCTGCCAGACGAACACAAGACCTGCTTGAAGAGTTTCGGTCGGATGTTTTTGGACATCCGCCTTATTCCCCTGACCTCGCACCAAGCGACTATCATCTCTTTCCACAGCTGAAGCAACATCTTGGGGGAAAACGCTTTGCAAACAACGAAGATCTAAAGCAAGAAGTTGAAAGTTGGCTAAACAGTATGGCGGCAGATTGGTATGAAGCAAGGTTTTTTAATAAAACTTTTGCCAAGGTACCAAAAATGCATTGAAAACCAAGGCAACTATGTAGAAAAATAGGTTTTGAGTGTAGCTTTAAAAATATATCCTTTACAAAGTTTTTCTGGAGTTTTTTATTACCTTTTTAAAAGAGTGTAACTTACTTTTGGAACAACCCTCGTATATAGTTATATAGTATTTATTTGAAAAATGATTACTAAACTTTATAAAAAACAAAGATATGAACACCAAAACAATAGCACTATGACAACCATAGATAAAAACAAACAAGCAGGAAAACAAACACAGGGAAAAAGAAATAGTTCACCAAACGGCTATCTTCATTGGTTGTCATGAAGCCCAGAATCTGCTGAATACGGTATGCATCGTCACCGGAAACATTCAATAGTAGGCAATTATATTAAAAAAATACAGGAAAAAATTTAAAAGCCTTCAACGTCACCGTGATTGGCGACTGACACTTGCGGCAAAAACAAAGTCAGTGTAATTCCGGTGATTGACGGTGATTGAGGATTGAAATGAGAATGATGAACAACACTAGTTGGCCGACACCATGGAAAACCTCATGTATATTGACTACCTACGAACTCCCTCCATCTCTTGCACTATGTTTAAATACTTAACTCCATTCAGGTCCAACAAATGGCGATGGATTTCATTAATGGTTGATCACAGAATTCGGCAGGAGCTTACATTTTCTTTCACTATGTTTTCAACTATGACGAGACCAATCGGGGACTGGCTAGAAAGAGTAACTAACAGTATTGAATGAAGTAAGGAATTTTGTGAACTAGCTTGCTTGGCTGCGACAGATGAGCTTAATTAAAACTTCAATGACAACCTTCGTTGTTTAAATTTAATTATGTACTCATATGATTTACTTTCTAGTAATTAACAATATGACATAACAAACTAAATTATTTTCAAAGTGTTCAAATTCCTTTATCCAAGCCATATCTGTTTACCATCTTCACAGTTAGTAGTTTATTGACTACAAACTACAACTAACTGTATTCAATCTCAGATTTAGTTTTAATCATTATTCTTATTAGTTAATCTATCCCTCCTGTATGGACATCCCCTATGACAGAGTGATGGTGCACGCACACATTGGATATTGCATTCCTCTTTTATATGCCTTAAATAATTAGGAAAATACCATGCAGTTATCGATTTTAAATCTGTAATAATGAATAGTTATACTGTACTATGAATGAAGCAAAATTTATAGTTTACTAAACATCTCCCCTTTGAGACAGTCTTTCACTGTTGCAGTGTTTCCCGTCCACTCAATTTCGGCTCTGCTCTTTCGCCCCGATGTCTGAAATAGAGGTACTTATTTAACACTCTGAAATACATAATCAGTTTTCATATGCTTTTTAGCTAAATAAAGTAGTCAAAATTATTTAATATGCAATATAACATTTTTATAGTGCCTCAAATTAGTTCCAAATAGATATTGATATTTTTTTATGAAACAATCAAAAAGCAAATTCAAAATATATTGATTTGTTTTTACCAATGGAATTAAAGTTGTTAAGTAAATTATAGTTTTTTCAGAACTTTATTTAGAAGACTATAATAACCAAATAAATAATATTATAATCAAGGGTTTTTCTTGTCTTTTTCTGATTAAATGTGAAATTATTACTTGGGGTACCTTCTACTTGCCTTGATGATACTGTAGTGCTTGCTTAGGCAGGATCAATATGAAGTTAGATCCTGTGATACTCTTAATCACTACTCAAATAAAATAATAAATTAAATTAAAATTAAAGACATAGCGTTTAAACTTAACCACATTAGGTATTATAGAATGGTTGATTGATGTGAAACCGCTAAAATAAAAAATGTGATAAAAACGTCATCCAACTATATTAAATATGTGGATTTACATAAAATTGTAGTTATTTACAACATTATTTATATTTGAAGGATTATTGTCAGGTTATCTTAATTTCATTTCATCGCAGGGTCATTATAAAACTGGCTTGATTGTATTTGCATCTTCTCCTTATTATTATGCAGGGGCAATCGCCAAGGAGCACGGGAACCCTTAATTTTTTTTTTTTTTTTACTTAAAATAATTTTTTCCAATTGAGATATTCAATATTTAGTCATAATCACGGGGGAGAATGATTATGTCTTTGTTATTTTAGAAGATGCTTTCAATTTAATCACGTTATGGTAAAGAGGATGATTTTGGTTGTAATAGTGGTATTTTATAATAATAAGCTTTGCCAAAGCGAGGCTTTTTGATTGTATTTGTGTGTTTTTACTAGGGATGGTCGGGATTCAATTTTTAGTTTGGGACAGGTTTTTTCCTGTGCATAAAAAGAAAGTCTTGAGTATTGCAGTTACCAAAAAAGACAAAAAAATCAATTTTTACCATTTGTGGCACTGATTTACAAAAACCAAAAAATGGGTAAAAACTTACAGGTTCGCAGTCGAAATGACTCCCGGTGACGGGTGCGATCATCAAAATGATTCGTGGTCACGGCGTGATTGTCAGAATGACTCACGAAAGCAGCGTCATCAGCAAAATCGCAGACAATTGAATCAAATCCCGTCCGGAAATATTCCCGAATCAAATGTAATCCTGTTCCAAAAATTGGGAATATTTTTTCACAAAATTTTGCCCTAGTTTTTACGCCAGTGGCATTTTTAACGTTTTGAAAGTGAACGGTCCAAACCCTGGTCTTGTTACTATCTAACGTTGACCTTTTTGTTAGATAGCATCATTAATTCATAGCCCAATGACAAATGGCATCTGGGTCTGGAAACGATCTTGCTTGGATTCGAACCAGCAACCTTCAGATTTTAAGGCAAGCACTATAACCCAGACTAACCCAGACAGCTTGTAAAGTTATGTTTTTGCTACAAACCTGTGAAACTGTAAGAATGTTTTTGAAATCACAAAAAAATTTTCATATATTTTTCAATTGCTGGACACGATCGTGATGTCTTCAGGCTTGGAGAAGATGTTTTCAAATTTGTCATGATCACAGGAGATGTTTAGTTTTTGCCGGCATTGTGGGAGAAGTTCAGGATATCCTCCAAAATGGGTAGGGACAATGATAATGTCTTCTCTATCCACGGGAGTTGATCACTATTTTACAGTTGTTATGGGAGACAATAGCCGAAAACCATCAAAACTTTACACTTTTTTTCATTTTTGCCAAATATTTCTTAAGGTATGCCTCTTTCAGTAAATGTTGCCCTATCCTTACTTAATTTAGATAAAATTTACTAAATTTTGAGATTTTAACGACTCCAATATGTCCGTTATCAATGAATGTACAATACTTAAAAAACTATAGAAATTTTCCAAAAAATTAAAAGATTTTTAATGATCTATTATTTTGTGTCATATTATTCTAATCCAAGAGAAAATCTATACAGAAGTAAATTAAAGATAATTTAATTAGCTTTCATTTGAGCATCAGTTGCCGTAGACCCAACGGTTCTTTCAAAAACGGTAGATACTGTAACATTGAATGTAAGAAGGGGATTTCGCAGAAATAAAAGTAAACTATCTAACACATCTGTATGGATAGTTTATTTAATAAAAAGAATAACCATACAACTTGTGACAGACAATAACCTAAGTATATTAAGAAGTATTTACATTTTTATGACTTTCGACGGCCCTGGTTCAGGAAAATGTTCAAATGGAGGAAGTGCTGCTTCGTTGCCGATGTTGGCCGGGTCGACCGATTCAAACTCAGTTGTAAGATCCTAATCCTTATCATCCATTTGGGAGTATTTGTGCATGGTTTTCCACTACATGCTTGGCAAAGAACAAAACATTTCAGCCCAGCTTTACGGCAGCTGCATCTGCCGCTGCAACCCTTTTTGCACTTACATGATTTCATTTCGAGAACAAGAACAAGAATGAATTTATTGATCTAACTTACAATCTTTCAGCGAGTTTGCATAAGCTTTCGACACAGTAAACCATAACATTCTTATAACCAAACTCCAGCTTATAGGATTCTCTGAAAATTCATTTAAATGTATGAGATCATCTTCAGGGCCGAAAGCAGTGTGTGTGTCATGACAACTTGACGTCCGACTGGAAACATGTTCCCTGTGGAGTTCCTCAGGGTTCAATTCTTGGTCCACTGCTTTTCACAATATACATAAATGACATAACTACAGTACTACACCACGTAAAGTTTCATTTTTATGCTGACGACTTGCAAATCTACTCTCATTTTAAAGTCAGTCATACGAATGAAACTATAAACTTAATGAATCAAGACATCGACAACATTGCTCACTGGGCAGCAAAGAATGGACTAAGACTCAATCCTGACAAAACAAAGCCAATCATCATAGGTCACCCACGGTTACTTAGCACACTTGATGTAGACAATTTACCAAAACTTACCGTGAATGGAACCACTTTGACATATCAATACAAAGTAAAAAGTCTTGGTTTGAAATTAAACCGTACATTAGACTGGACTGACGCACTGGACTGACGCGGTGGTAAATACTTGTAAAAGAGTATTTGCCGCCATTCACACACTGAAAAAGATGCAATGACTCCTACCGTTTCATATTAAACTCTTACTGGTCAAATCACTCGTATTTCCACACTACAACTATTGCAACACTGTGGTTAATGATATGACTGTGGCTTTGGCAACAAAATTACAATGTGTTCAAAATTACTGCATTCGATTTTTGTTCAATCTTAGACGTAACGATCATGTCACACCATCTATAAGTATAAAAGAGGATGTTTGTATATATATTTGTTTGTTTGTTTGGCAGTGATAAACTCAGACACCGCTGAACCGATTGCCACGAAACTTGGTACATACGTGTAGAATGTCATGGAATAGGTTTATACACCATCAATTTCGTGATCCGTCCAATCGGCTCCGCCCCAGTGGCTCTGGAGTTTCCCATGTTAACCTTATGAGAAATGGAATTAATGAATCTTAACAGCTGTTTCAATTAAACAAGTTGGTTCTGTTCTATGATGTTCAATAGCATTAAAGTTACAAGGATTACCAACAGGGTGCAGCACTATTATTTCTTTTACATTTATGACAACAGCTAATTTGCAACCCAAAGGTGAGTGAGCGTAGCGAACGAGCTCCAACCTAAAGGTGAGTGAGCGTAGCGAACGAACTTCAACCAGGACGTGATTGAGCCATGCGAACGAGATCATCTTGAAAATTAAGAAGTTAAACGGGGCAAAGCCCGCGGGATTATAAATAGTCAAAGGCAAGACAACGTCTGCCGGGTTCAGCTAGTATTATATTAATGAATCAATTTTGAAATTAGATGACTTCAGAAAAATCCGAATACTTTCAATTACTCATTCAGCCATTAATGTTGGAACTCCAAATTATCTAGCCGACAAGTTTGAATTTTTGCGTGAAAGAGTCGCAAGGAATATTCGCTCTGGCTCGCCCACGCTGCGTATTCCTCATCACAGGACGACTGTTTATAACAAATCTTTTGTAGTAACTGCATGCCGCCTTTGGAACTCTGTACCTTATCCCATTAAATCCTTAGAAAGCCGATCCCGACTGACGGTGGCGCTGAAAGAATATTACCTTAACCGGATGGCTGTGGCGTGGCGGGATGGCGTGCATTAGGCCTGGGTGCAGCAGAGGGTGTATGTGTGTGTGATTGTGTGTTAGGGAAATACATTTATGTAATGTTGTTACACCTATTTGTTTATTTCAATTTATTGTTTTATTTTGTTAATGTTTATCATTATTGTTAGTTTTTTAGAAGTTAACTGTAAGTTCGCCTCAATAAAGAAGGATTTTCATTTCATTTCATTATTAAACAGTTGGAAAAGGATTTGCAAGAATATTTCATGTACGAAATGGCCCCGTCCCCTTTGTCTTTGTTTACGGAGCAAGGGATGCAAAAAAGCACAAATTCCTCACTCTACTTTGCTTTCACTCCTCTCTCCAGCCACACACCAATTTAATTCTCTTACGCTAATGAGATGCCAATACATACGTTGTTTTAGATGGTAGCTATCTCCTGCACTAAAGGGTCTGGCAGCGAAAAAGTTCAGTAGCATCAGTCATCTCAGGTTACACCACCTACGTCAATAACCACTTTGTTAGCAACGTCTCAATTGTTTTTTATGGTTACCAAGCTGCAAACTTGTTTTCTTATTCGTGGTATAGGTCCTAACAACCTACTAAAAAAATAGAACTACATGACCATGTTGCATGCAAGGCCCTTTTTTAAGGTTTAACCTGAATGGACTGTTATACAATGTGGACATAATTAAAATTCCATCTCAGATAATTTGCAAATATTACACAAGTGCAAAAGATAGTATATTACGTTATTAGTCCTGAAAAGTGTTTGCCGGACGAGTGTGTGGTTGTTACCAACTAAAGGACTAAAAATCACTAGTCATAACCTCTAAGACAGGTTATGTTTTTGTTTATAACTACTCATTGCCACCCAAATACAGTATAATCAGCTGATTGGTGTCCGGTAAAACTCATTACAGTACAGTAGTACGCAATGAAACCCCATTTGATTAAGCTGGCGCCAAACAGCTGTTTTCTGGACTAAATCCTTGCGTGGGAAGTTCGTCAAAATAGTGTAGTATGGCGTAAGGTTATTTAATGACTACACTTTAGTCTTGTGAGATATAAAAGGCAGTACAGTGTGAACCAGATAATGAACTGAATGAAAAAATAGACACTCAAGGAAATGCTTTGTTCGAAACTGCAATACGCCTGGAAAAGAGCAATGACGTTTTGGGGCAAAGTACACCATAGACAACTCTCCATCCTGCAGTCTTCGCCCAGAATTAATCATGTGCGTATGCAAGTTGGCCACTGCGACAACATTATCGATCGGTTGTTAAATGTATTTTTGTGTATTGTGTAGTGACTGTTTTATGTTAATATTGAAGACGAAGCAATAGCTTATTACCTGATGATGTCACTGTGTGGACGTAACGCGTATTAATTTACAACAAACTTGGAACGCTAGAAGGTAACATTATTATTTATTAATATCTTACGCTCCAGTAGTAGGAAATGAATTCTAACTAGTTATTACCCAAGAAAGTATGTACAGGGAACCCCAATTTACAAACATTTTCATATTCATTCAAAATGTGAAATCTCCATCTTTCTGCGTATTGAGACCACCACTACTTGAGTATTGAGTGTGTCTAATTATGGAGACTGTGCTATCTTTCTGCTAAATGCTCTGTTGTATGAGATGGCTTCATAATGTTAGAGGGGCCTCCTTGACATAAAGAGATACCCAACTTATGTCACTGAGCAAGGTGTTGATCTGAAAGTGATTCACCTGACTAACTCTTTATAGGAATTGGTAGCAATCTTGACACCCATGTGACATCTCCAAAGTCTATGTCATGGAGAACTAGACTTAGTCTGGCACAGTAACTTTTTTTGTTCCAGAGGTTGAAGCAGTGTGTAATTGTATTCGCGATTGTTTGCTACAGTAATAGCCCTTGTTCCAGAAGCCCCTGGTACGGCAGCCTGGGGACTCTTTAACGTTAGAGAAGATGCATTGTCAGGTGCACATGCAGCAGCCCAAGCGACCCAGCTTCTGCCGCTCGTGGCTCTCCAAGTTTCCGACACGTTCGAAACGCATTGATGTAATCTCTCGCATCACCTTTCCTTTGGTATTCGCTCTGTTCAACATCACCTATTGGTCTACTTATCTGTTCCGAGAAGACAAAGATGGTGATTAGAGTGGTTGACTCACACGGTGGCTCAAAGGACCGGCTTTTCTACTTTTTTTATACGGTTCACACGATACAGATTGATTCACTAACCGATATCGCTTCGACCTTTTATCTTTATGACCGCTAGATCTTTAGTTCAGGAGAGAATTTGGAGCCATTTTGCCTTGAATATGGTCTGGTCCACAGATTTTAAAAATAAAAGTGTTGATTTTTTATAACTATCGAATTAAATTGATGTGTAACAATGATTGTGCAATGCCTCAACAGTGCAAAAATGTACATTTGAAATGAAAGATTCTTTGATTAAAGTAGAATCGGAGCGTTACTGTAAAATGTATTGAAATGATATTCGGATAATTAGTGGCTGTTAATGTGACAATGTGTGCGAGTAGAGTGTTGTGCATTTATGGTACTTGAGATTAACTGTTCACAATTAAAGGGCTCAATATTGTTCTGTAAAAATTACATATCTACAATAAAGAAATGTTGTCTATGGGTTAGCAGTTCCATTAGCCTATGTACTACTTTGTGTAAATAAAAATGTACAAAGCATTAGATGTAAGTAATTTGTACTGTAAAAGGTATTATCATTAAACCACAGCTATTCTGAATCATTTTCTTGAGCTATTTTCCCATGGTAACATTTCACAGGGTATTGAAGTTACTAAGGACATGAGGTAAAAACACCTCCATGTTGACCATTGTACTTGTACCTAAATTATGTAAGCTATAAAACGAATAGAGAAAAATGCCATCTTATGAAGAACATAATCTACTTTACACTTCATTGTGTCAAAGTAAATAGCCATGAGTAAACCCATTTAAACCATATTTAAGTTTAAGAAAAGATCTTAATGCTTATCCTCGATTACCTATCTGTTTTAATTGTATCATCAGCTTTTATAAAAAGTTGTGTGCAAATTATTTACTTGAATAAAAGTCAACATTTATTTGATTTGCAACTGATACAGGCATAGTGGGACTGCTTCCTTTAGCGACACAGTACAAACTACATTTTAAGAATAATGAGAACACACAGAGTTTTATTTTATTATTTAAGTATCAAAATGCTCATTTCATTCAAGCTTAATTCTAGTGTTTAATTTCTTTAAACTTGAATTGCAACATCTTAATCATTAAAAAATGTCAGTATTGTGTCTTAGTTTGATTGGTTACTCTGTTCAGATCTGAAAATGTTACTACCATGATAAAAACGTTTCACATTTTTTTGTAATTGCAAGAAATCATCAAATAAATTTGAAAAATATATAATTTTGTTTATTATTATCTGAATAACATTTGTAGTCCTATCTTAGTGAAATGAATAAGGTACCATAGTTTATTTTAATGCTAAATTTAAAAATATTGTCATGATAAATGTCAACTTGTTGATTGGAGGCCCTTGTAGAACATCTGATTGTTATACTCATGGTCTGTGCTCAAGCTAGACTGGCTGATATTTCCAACTGTACAATTTCCTTATGTCCATAATTATAACTACTGTAACTTATTGAACAAATGTGATCAAATGAAGGTGGTTGAGTTGTGTATCTGATAATGTAATAGAACGATTCTTGTTACTGTTGTATCTTTGTTTATATGAATATGTTTATACAAAAATATGTACAAATATATAAATATAAATAACTGAGCTTAAAGTAGAATGTTTAGGCTAGAGGTTATGTTCTGTTATTTCTAAGAATTATATATTTATTGTTCATGTTTTAAAAGTCTTACTAAGTTGTCTTTACATGTTAACCTAATATTAAAATTAATAAATAAAACGATAAATGGTTTCAGACAAATCTGTATTGTGCTTGTTTCTAAATTGTTATACCATTGTACCATTTAAATACATCAAAGATTCTTTTTTTAAACACATTAAAGTAGTGTGTTATTCATACTTACCAAGATTGTTGAAAATTACTCAAGTATATATATTTGCACCAGGGGATGCAATCATAAAAACCAATCAATTAAAGTCAAGCAAATTTAACTTTCAGTACAATATATCGGTTTAATATAATAAATAAAAACTATGCAGTATTAATTTGTCTCCTTAGTCAAGTATTATCAATATTACTTGCATAAATATAATATAGTAAGTTTTATATCTCTAACTGTAAAACTGACAAGATTAACTTTCTGAAATACTGGTTAGATGTATAATGAGTTTTACAAGTTCTGTTATCCTCTCACAGATAGAAAATACACTCCTGGCTGCTAGGAACCAATGTGATGTCATTGCAGCCAAATAAGAAACTTGTTCTTGTTGCTTATTTTAATGAAAATCTCTTTTGTATTTGTATTAAACTGTGTGGCAGGATAAAAAAAAATAATTTTATTGTAATTTAAACATCTACAGAATATCAGAATCAAAAGATTAACTCATGGAAAAGTAAACAAACAAACTATAAATCAATGTTGTCATATAGTTATGGCTATACCTGTTGGCGTTAAAGAAACATAATACAACTTGTCTTCTATCACCTTTTGAAATTGAGAAGTGATACGGATGATTTATAAATAAAAGCCAATTTTTTTCAATATTTGTAAGACATTTTTGAAAGAAAAAGATACATGATGAAGAGATACACACGCTTTTTAGTGTCAAAGCACATTATATATTTTACATTTAAGTTCACTGTAAAAATCTTTCATCATCTTTTTTTTACTTACATTCAGTAACAGGTATCATCAAAATTAATCCTGAATTTTAGAAAAAATAACCAGCACATTAACCAGCAGCATTATATTATTTAATATAATTTGTATGTTGTTGGTGTTGTTGGTGTTGTTTGATCAAAACCAATTATTAAAAAATCTATTCCCTGCAAATCCCTCTTTTTGACTAAGATCTGTTCATTTATTTCATTTTTGTATATTTTTAAACTTTCTTTTTTAAATGTTTCTTTTAATAATTAAAAAAAAAACATTTAAATACTGTAAAATGTATAAGTTTGCACAATCAAGCAACAAAATGTCGTTATACTCGCTCAGTTGTCAATGTGTTTATCCGCATCAATCACTCAACAATTTGCAGTAATTGTCAACTTAGAGATGTTAGCTTAGCAATAAGTTAAGTTAAGATAGAACTATCAATGGAATACCAGGGTTTATACACTCACCGTTGGACACTGATTTGTAAATACATCTACAACTATAGATTTTCCATCTCAAGTGACAGGCATTTTTATTATTGACAAAAATAGGGTCGTTGTTTTGTACTTTTATTTTTAAATGTTACACAAATGTATGTAAGATACTTCCCCGCATGAAATGTCAATAACTACTGATTAGTAAGCCACTTATAAAATGTTGCATTGTTATAGAAGTTCCATTTTATACTGTCAATAACAGGTAAAAGCACCGCCCTAGGTGTGTCAGAATTCTGACAGTGATGGCTCAAAAATTACTTATAGCTTACAGTTAAATAAAAACCTTAATGTGACTAAACTTGTTTGAGTGAAGAAGTCAGCACATGTTGTTGCGAAACAATATTAAATATTTTGCAAATGGGCTACCTACTCGTTTGTCTGTAGTTTTTTTAGGACTAAAAATGGTTTTGTATAACAAATTACCAAAAATCTTCTTTATAAGCTTACTTTATGCAAAAGTAAAGTGTTTACAGATAAATTTTAAAATGTAATGTTCCTTAAAATCTAGAAACACTAAGTCACTAAGGAAATATATGGCCGAGTTAGGGTAATCATCAGTGTATTTATTATTAAATTACTAATGTCAACATTCGTGGCCATTCTGGCTACAAAATAATTATATAAACCAAATGTACCAGAAATGTTAAATAAGTTTTGTACATTATAAGCTTTGTGTAAATTTTCAATTTAAGGAAAGTAAAATAAGCAATATGTGTTATTAGCTTATCATATGAAACCATAATTTGAACTTAATTATACAAATTTTAATAACATTTTCAATGGGTGTTGGCTTATTAGAATGAAATTTTTCAATTGACTTGCTGAAAATATAAACATTAAAACATGTTTATATTCACAAAATATTTTCAATAACTATTCAAGTCTTTGGACGCTGTATCAAATAAAGTTATTGCCTTTGATCTTATTTTGGATCAAATTGTTAGGTTTGTTTAGCTTTAGGACACAAAATCTATTTAACCAATCAGAAGGTTTGGTTTAATTAGTTACACAAGTAAGTGTCGGGATTGAACCTTTAACAAATAACCAACATTAAAATTTGATAAAAATTAAAATATAAACAATATTATATTTAATATTTATGACCATTTCATGGAAAAGAATTCTAGAAATAAAATTAACAATAATGAAATAAGTACCATACTGTGATTACTGATAATTGCTATTATTTACAAAGGAAGAGTTTATTTCAAAAGGTGGTTTTTTTAATCAATTTAAGAACTGATCTTATTCTTCCTTGTATTAAACGTGTTCTTACAAACAATAAATTTGTCTCAAACCAAGGTAAGAAAGAGATATATCTAAATTATTTGAAATTATGACTAAATATACACAATAATTATTTAGTTGAATGTGTTATTACATCCTATCTAAAATTATTTATCTTAAGTCTTCTTTTCTAAGTTAGGTCACAAATGTTGTACAATAAATGCACAAAATAACACAAGCTGATGCACCAAATCATAGTTATTTACACAGCTTTGGGGAAAACTACCTATTTCTTCTAGTTATTCTTTTGAATTGCAGTATATTTCACAGATCACTGAGTATGTTATTATTTAAATTACTTAGCTGTTATGTTTTATTTTAAATTTGACCATGTTGTTAAAAACGTTGTACATAAAATATATATAATATGTAGAAAGTGCGTTAGCTTATCAGGTTTGTATCATATTGCAAACAAATAGTCTTGGTTTTAAAATATGTATCCAAATTTTTAAGAAAAGTAATACTACAGTATCGACACTCACCGACCTCTCTTTCCAACTGATTGCGATACTACAGTATGATGTGTAAAATAAACATTACATCTTGGTGCTACTCTTGTGTTTCTCTCCCTGCTACAGTGCAGCCACATGAGCTGAGGCAATGCTTGTTTGAGAAAACCCATACTTAGCCCGTAACAAGCATGGGTTTTCACAGTTAACTTTGGAAGAAAGTGAATTTTACATCATATAACTACTAGTAGGCCTACTATAGGTTTTTTTTGTTGTTGTTGTAAAAGCAATATAAAATAAAGGAAACTCACGTTTATTACAACAACCTACAATGCCTTCAGGCAAAATAGTTAAATAAATTATTTGTATAATACAGGTCTTGTATCTTGTTTCAAATAATATTGAAGTAATTTTGTTTTTTATGTTTTAAGTTCCAGTGGAATTTCAATTTATTATGAATACAGCTATCCAAATTATGTAAACTATAAAAAATTGTTCATACAAATTTTAAAATCTACCATTAAATAGAGTGAAACATTGATTTGAAGGCCGTTTGGATTAACATCCGCACTGACTATCCGTAGTACTTTACTGATTATTAAACCAATTTGTTAGTACCGAGGCAAAAATGTGGTTTGGATTCCACTATAAACTGTAGGTCCCAGGAATATGTTGGCCTTATAGTCACTAACAAGACTACAAGATCGCGCCACTCATCCTACACTCATCTCCATTTATACTAGGATTAAAATACGTACTTTGTATGGTCGCCATTTCAATGAAAAGTATTAAAGTGCCCTCAAACGGCACCTACACGAAACACTCATTACTCATCAACACTGACTTGCTCTATTTTCCCCTATATCATAGTTTTTTTTATTTTTTTATTGAAGGTCTAGAGGGCTGTGGCATTATCACATAGATTAAATCCTTTGGTGATGTGAAGGATTTTAAACCGGAACCTTGGTGACTAAAATCCCACTCTCCACCACAAGACCAGCTCGCTCCTGATCGTAGGTATCGTACACTAATAAGGTATAAATTTTATAGAAGAATACATTTAAACGATAATATTGAGTATGAAAATTAAGAGTTTCGCATCAATACTTGAACCTACAATTTTTACTCTCTCCCCCTATACCCATATGAAGAATATTTGGTTTTTGGCAAAATTTTTGATTTTGAGTTTTGAGTGGATATATCTGTTTTGGGTCCCCCTAGCTGAACCCAAAAAAGTGGTTTTCGAAGTGATGTCTGTGTGAGGATATGTACAGAGCTACAGACCAGTAGACCACACGTCCCGTTGTCCAATTGTGATGCATTTGGTATGTAGGTACTTATCCGTGGTATCTCCAGGTGTTTTTCTCATTTCTTCATTTTGATTGTAAAGGTGATTTTTTTCATAAAATAATGAAAATATCAAATCTTCTTGAAAATGGCCCGAACGATTTTATTTAAAACTTATATGTTATAGCCCTTTAAACTCTGAACAAAATGGTCCCATGGCTGCAAAAATTACAGTTTAAAAGTTATGGTAACTTATGCTATTTTCCCATTTTAAAAACCTTTAAAATAACAGTAAGCAGATTATTTAAAAAAGAAAGCCGGTTTTTATCATAATTAGTATGTTAAGATCCTTATAATTCTAACAAAATAGTGCAACCTCATTGCTGTAAAAATTAAGGTTCAGAAGTAACTATTTTGTGATTTTCCCTATTATTATCAAAGTTACTCCCATACCCATGATAAAGGTTGTTGACAAGCTAATGAGATAAAGGTAAAGGTAATGAGATAAAGTGTCAGATTGCTGATACCTTTTGTTTTGCCTTAGTATAACTTAAACTAGTTTAAAAAAATTCAGAAGCAAAAGTGTTCTCAATTTATTACTGCAATAACATTAATAAACAATACTGTTAAATATCAAACTACAAGAATATTGTTAATTTTTCTGCTTGTTTTGGAAAATATCCACGATTTTAAAAGTATGTTATAATATTTTCACCACACTATGATGTTTTTGGCTGTATTACATACGTTAATTGGTGGCTGAAAGTTACGTTTTGCTGGCCATGCCAGCTGTCGCCAATTTGGGGACCGAGCAGGTTTTTACAGGCCGGGGCCGCAAAATCAGCTGTCCGCTTACTTACTTCGAACATGAATGCGTTTTAAATACACAATCAAAATCCATAGCATTGCAATATAGAATTGTGTTATTGTCACCGTTGCCTAGCAACTATTTATTTATATTTTTGCTGATTCCTCAAATTATTTCTTAACCTTAAAGTTATAGTTGTGTTGACTATCAGTGTGCATTATTATAGTGGTGAATAGTGGTAATAGGGTATAGTGTTGTGAAAAATAGCGTTCGTACCACGGACCGAAATGGTTTTGCAGCTCTCGATCGATTTAAGTTCTCGACTTCGTCTCGAACTTAAAAACTATCTCGAGCCGGCAAAACCTCATTTTCGGCCCTTGGTACGAAATATACTATATGATGTTATTAGCTGTTTTACATTCGTTAATAATTAGAGGCTGAAAGTTACGTTTTGCTGGCCATGCCAGCTGTCATCGTCATTTGGGGACCGAGCAGGTTTTTACATGCCTACGGCAGCAAAATCAGCTGCCCGCTTGCTTATTAAATACACAAACAGTATCCATAGCATTGCAATAGAATTGTTTTACTTTCACCGTTGCCTAGCAACTGTTTATTATTATTTTTGTTGATTCCTGAAATTACTTCTTCACATAACCTTAAAGTTGCGTTGACTATCAGTATGCATTGATTATCATTGTGAACAGTAGTAGTGTGTGTGGTGAAAAATAGTGTTCGTGTCACGGACCAAAAATGGTTTTGCAGCTCTCGATCGTTTTAAGTTCTCGACTTCGTCTCGAACTTAAAAACCACCTCGAGCCGGCAAAACCTCATTTTCGGCCCTAGGTACGAAATATACTATTTAACTGTGTTTTACAAAGTTGCAGCCCCAGGCCACACACCAACATAGGCCCCCAAACAGGGCTGGTGGGGAAGGTGGGCCAAGATGGGTTACTTAAGCATTTAATAATTTTTGGAAAGCTTCCTAATTAGTTAACAAAAATAAATGATATTGCAACTTAAACTTTAGTCTTTATAGAGTAAATATATAAATTTTTCTACTCGTCTAGCTTAAAAACTTATATATAAAAAAATCGTTTTTATAGTTTACTGAGTACCCCATCTTGCGGTAATAAAGTAAGATAAATAAACAAATAAACACTATTCAAACTTAAAAAAAAACATTTGTTATAATATAAAAAGTATTATGTTGTCAATAGTGATATTACGTTTTAACAGAAAACATAAAAATTACTCCTATAAACAATAAAAAATTACTCTAATTTATATTATTGACACTTTACTATGTAATAAAAAGTATTGCAGTTACTAAAAAAAAATAATGACATTACTAACTAAACAGATTCTTCTCCTTAAAATAAAAATGTCTGCAGTTAAAAAATTATAAAATAACTTTCATAACTATTCTCCTTCAAATAAACCTTTCCCGTCTTGCCCCCGTGGACAATGTTTAGGTTAGTCAATTAAGCTGTATGTTGTAATAATTACTTCGATAAAAAAAACCCTCATTTAATGCTAATAATAATTTGTATGAGAAAAAAACATGTCTCTGAGATTTTCTTGCGTAAAAACAAGCAAAAATTGCTTGTTGTTGTGTTGTTGGTGAAAAACACACTATGACCCATACACATCATGTGGTTTACTTTAACTGGCTTGCTGCATTATGAGACAAAGGCATAGCAACAATCTACTACTTCAACTATTTACCGATAGGCTGAGACACCCACTAAGGTAGAAATCACAAAAACCCCGTCTTGCCCCACCTTCCCCTTCCCTAACAGCGGTTGCCGAGGTTCTCGGCCTGGAAAGCGGCCTCAAAATTATGATTTTTTTCTCTTAGAAAATAGATTTTGCCAATAATCTGTTAGAATTAGGGGATGGAATTTTCCGAGTCGAACTTATATCCTCACGATCGCCTAAAGCATTTTGCAAAGATCGCGCGATCGTAAAACACGACTCCCAGCGATCGCGGGTGACGATAATCAGGTCTCGCAACCGCGAAAGATGTTCACGATTGCTTCGAGACAGAGGCGTTCATGATTTCGCCACGATATTGGGAGAAGAAGCTGATATCCTCGCAAACGTAGTATACGAAACGTTCACGATTCCTTTACGATCGCGGAAGATGCTCAACATTTTACTTTCAACAACACCGCAGGTGTCTCAACTACGAATTTGTTGTGACCAAAGGAAGACTTCGTTAGTTTTCTAATCAGTATTCATGATATCACCACGATCACGGGGGACGATAATGTTGACCCCGCGTTCGTGGGAGATGTTAACGATTTCGTCTTAAAGGCAGGACACGTAGAATATACATCCCCGCGACTGCGAAAGATGTTCGCTACTCCACCGTCGATCTCGGAAGATAACTACTATTACTTCGCGACCGCGGGAGACGAAGGTGATGACCCCCGCAAACACGGATGACGCTCACGATTTCGTAGTTTTTAAGACAATATCGGCCATTTTTGGCGCAATTGCAGTAGTTTGGACCATTTACAGTAAAATATATAACATATAACTAGTGCACCTGTTGCTTGAATTCTAGCAATTGCAAAGTATTACTGGCGTTATTTCAAAACATTCATAATTTCCGATGACTTAAAATAGTCAACTCAAAGATAATGTAATCAATCACTCCACCCCAGTTCCAGGTATCGAAACTAAAAACGAACTCACTCTGAAAGCGAACGCTCCTGTGTGTATCGTGTGTCAGTGTGTCCTGTGTGTAGGTTGTGTGTATCACGAACAGCTGTAATAATACAAATTATTCGTCTGTTTAAGTAAACAAAATATTTTCTTCGTAAGCAATACATTGGGATTTTGATGGCCTGTGGGGCAAAGCTCAAGGATTTTTATAACAGGAATTGGTGAAAGGGGGCGTCTACACAAAAAATACTTCATTTTGACACACCGTATGTAAAAATCCGTTCATTATTAACGGAGGAGTAGTGTTTCGTAGAAATTGCCTTCACGTTTTATATGTA